CCCCATGGCCGCAGCCCCCGCGGCGCAGAGGCGGCGGTGCCGAGGGAAGGGACGGACGGACGCTCGGGAGGGGAGGCCTGGCCCTGACGGGAGGCCGGGTGTCTCCCCGCAGCCGCGCTCATGCCGAGCAGCAGTGTCCGAGGCCCAGGGTGAAGACGGCTGTGATTTTTAACTCGGCTCAGCGGCGGGTGGGAGGCTGAGCCGCTGCGGCCCAGCCCTCCGCCCCAGGCGCCGCTGATGGCGGTGCGGGCTCGGGGAGCCCCCGCTTCGCGTCGCTCACTGTGCGCTGTGTTGCAGGAGCACGCGGTGACCATGCCCTGCACCTGGGTGATGGCCTGCGCCTACGCGCCGTCCGGATGCGCGATCGCCTGCGGGTAAGCGGCCCGACCTGCTCCCACACGCACAGCGCGGGATCAGTTATTCACTTGTGCCGCCGTGTGTTAAGCCCTGCCCTGGACGGCGTCATAGGGAAGCCCACGGCTCTTTCGTGAGCGTCCCTGCAGACTGGCAGGCCGTAGGTCAGACCTGTGCCCTGTGCTGTGGGAGCTGCGGGCACACAGGTCGCTCACACTGGGAGGCAGGCTGTGCAATGCCTCAGAAGCCTCCACATTTTCTAACTTTTGGTCCAGTGACCCTGTGTGTAGGAGCTGGTGTGAAAGGAATGACCCAAAACATACAAAAGCCATGCAAACAGTGACATTTACTGTCTCCCTGGGGAAAAAGAAAAGAAACAATACATTCATCAAAAAGAAATTGTTGATGAATTGTGGTATGTGAATGAAGCGGAATATTACACAGACACGAAAAGGGAAATTCTTAATCACAGTAAGTGGTTAGTAGGAAGGGTGCCTGGTCTCTTCTGCTGCTTGGTTTTACAGAATTGGCAGCAAGGACCGAGGCATACAGGATTCCCTGACCTGCGTTAAACAATTCCGGGTCCATGCAGTGTTTCTCCAGTGACATCTCAGGCATTCCGTGTGTTGAAGGCATAGTGTAGAGGCGGCCATGGCCAGGGCAGCAGTGATCTGGATGACAGGACAGAGTGAGACCCTGTTTCAGAAAACAGGAGTAAGAGAAGTGAGACACAGGCCCTGGGCCCTGAGGTACGGGAGGACATGCTGGGCAGGTTGCTCCGCGCAGACCCAACAGAGCGGGCGCCTCCCTCAGGTCCAGAAGTGGAGCTCTGGTTATTCCCACCCTGACCCTCGCGAAGTGGGGCCAGCAGAGAGTCCACAAGGTCATGGGCAGCAGGAAAGAAAGGGCCCCTGAGGAGGGGGCTCAGCACCTCCTGGGCCACTGCCCTCCCCAAGGTCCTTCTGCGTCCCTGGCCCTGGCACAGCAGGAAAGAAAGGGCCCCTGAGGAGGGGGCTCAGCACCTCCTGGGCCACTGCCCTCCCCAAGGTCCTTCTGCGTCCCTGGCCCTGGCACACAGGGGTGGCCAGTTCCTGTGCTGGCCGCCTCACTGGGTGTGACAAGAACCAAAGCGAGGAAGTGCGAAGTGTGCGTATTTGTAAAAGCATTTTTTAAAATACAAGAGAGGGACTGGTGTGGGGGTGCACGCCTGTGATCCCAACACTGGGGAGGCTGAGACAGGAGGGTCACCGCAAGTTCAAGGCCAGCGTGGGCTACACTGGGTCTGCCTGGACTGTGTGGCAAGACCTTGTCTTGAAAAACCAAAAATAAAATACTGGGGAGGATAACAAAAGCAGACTAACTAAACTGAGAAATCCTAACTCAGGTAAAAGCACCCACCCCTCCGGGCCCTCACTAGCACTGAGTGCAGCTCCGAGGCTCCCGGGGGGAGTGTGACACGACACCACTGCTCTGTAACACCCGACCCCACCCCACACAGAGCGCGGGTGCCAGGGGCGTTGGTCACATGAGCTCGGCGTGTGGAACAGGTGCGCGAGAACACGCGGCGGTCAGGTGCACTCTGCCCGCTGCCCAGGCTCTGTGCCTGCCCAGACCCAAGCTGACACGGGTTTCAGATGCAGGACACCCAGTCTGTCCTTGACAGCCTTAGAAACATGACAGGTCCAGGGACAGCCTGTGAACCAGGGGCCTGAGGTCTCCTGCCACAGACACAAAAATAGGCAGAGCGTGGAAAGGTCTTAAAGTAGCTGCTGAACGGACATGTGGGTGCCCGTGGCCCTGGGTCCCCAGGACAGTGGGGACACTGGATATGTGGCTTATTCAAGGACACGGCAGGGCTTTGTGAATTTCCTCAGATGTGGTAAAGACGGGTCGAGATTCCCTTCCACAAGCCTGACAAAGTGTCTGTGAATCTAGGCAAAAGGATTTGGATATTCAGATCTTTATTGTATTTTTTAGTCGTAGTGTAGGTTTGCAAATCTTCAAAGTAAAAGTCGGAGGGAAGTTCTGCTCAGTGGGGTGCACAGGGTCCGGGGTGCGGGGTCAGCAGTGCCCCGGGCTGCACGTCCATGCTGACCCGCAGTGGCACCGTCCCCAGGGGCCTGGATAACAAGTGCTCCGTGTACCCGCTGACCTTCGACAAGAACGAGAACATGGCGGCCAAGAAGAAGTCGGTGGCCATGCACACCAACTACCTGTCGGCCTGCAGCTTCACCAACTCCGACATGCAGGTGCGGGGCGGTGGGCGCGGAGGCGGGGGTGCCCCGTGCCGCCCCGGTCCTCCCCTGGGCGGGGCGGGGCTCTCAGCAGTCGGGAGCAGAGCTCAGAGCCGCGAGTCCGCCTCTTACAGCCCCCCACCCCATTCACCGGGCTCCTTTCTAACCCACAGCGCAGTGCCCCAGGCAGGAAGCGTGTCCCCCGCCGTGAGCAGAGGGACAGTGACCCGGCTCTAACACTGGGCTCTGTGTCCTGCGGCACATGTAGAAGCCCCTGGTGCCTCTGCCCAGCCCTGTCCTACAGTCCCTCCCTGGTGCCCGGCCCCGGGGTCCCGTGCTGGGCTCGTCAACTCAGATGCTGCCCCTGGGTTGGGGCCGCTCCCCTGGATGCCAACACTCCCCCCCTCATCTGCTAACCACGGCAGCCACTCCTCAGCCATCAGAGAAGCGTGCAGTAACCAGAGGGGGGCGCATGCCTGTCATTCCCACTACTCAGGAGGCTGAGGCAGGAGCATCGCAGGTTAGAGCCTGAGCAACTTAGCAAAACCTTGTCTCAAACTATGTTTTAAAGGAGCTGGGGATGTAGCTCAGGGGTAAAGCACTTGCTTAGTTAACACAAGGCCCTAGGTTCAAATCCCAGTACCCCCTCCCCAGAAAGAAAACAAAATAGAAAGACAAGGAGCAAGCAGTGAAGCAGAGGGAGGCTATTCACAGATGTCCCCTGCACAGGGCCAGCTGGGTACCAGCTCTGGGAGGAGCCAGGTGCATGGCACGCAGCTGGGACCTCTGCCACCTGGGCATCCCAACCTGTCCTGTCCTTCCCCGTGGCAGATCCTGACGGCCAGCGGCGACGGCACATGCGCACTGTGGGACGTGGAGAGCGGGCAGCTGCTGCAGAGCTTCCACGGGCATGGGGCCGATGTGCTGTGCCTGGACCTGGCGCCCTCGGAGACCGGGAACACCTTCGTGTCTGGGGTAATGGCCGGGCCTGTCTGGGAGGGGCTCCCAAAGTGCCCTCAGCCCCCCACACCCCCGGGCTCGAGGCCCCCTTTCACTCCACCCGTGACACTAGGCCGTCTGCAGAGGGACCCGCAGTGTTCTGTCCAAAAGCTGCGGCCACTTGGGAGGCCGCACAGCGAGCGCTGAAACATTCAAAAATGATGACAGCAAGAAACACGTGGCCCGAGTTCCCCCGCAGCCCTCCCCTCACTTCTGACACCGATCCCACATTCCTATCACTTCCTGCCGCAGCTCTGGAGGCCTCTTTCCTCAGGGTTTTTATGACATGGGATCAAAAATGCGGTGACTGCCTCGGCCAAGTGCCGCCCATGGAAAGGCAGGCTTGTAAACACGACGCTGTCCTCACCTGCCTTGATCACCTGGTCCGGCACCATGCGACCTGTGGCTCTTCCTCAACATCAAAACAGCCATGAAAGGAAAACATTTAGAATGAGTTTGGGACATCGAGGCAGGCGTGACAGCATAAACAGAGACACCGAGGAAAGAGGACTCCAGAACTGCTGCAGGAGGTGACAGGAACCACGGGATGAGTGTGTTCATAGCAAGGGGCTGCGCGTCCTTTCCTGTAACAGTTTCTAATGTGAATGTTCACCAGAGTTTTCTGTCACCCCTCATACCTGACATCCCGCGGTCAGAGCCCGCACCTGACAGCAGGAGGTGTGGGGCAAGGGCAGGCGCAGGGGCAGGTGCCGTGGCTGCCGAGGCAAGTACACAGGGCTCGGGTGTGGACTGACCGGCCACTGGCTGCTGCCTCCCCAGGGCCCAGGACCGCGTACACGTAGGCTCAGCCTGGGCCGGTGAGGAGTCAGGGTGCCCGGCCCCAGCTTCTGCTGCCCAGCGCGGCATTCCGTGTCTGTAATTTGACACTGTGCTGTGGCCCCTGGGTGCTCCCGCGGGTCGAAGGTTGGCAGCCGGCAGATGGTGGCAGGAGTCGGTGGACAGCCAGGAGTAGACACAGAGCTGAGCTGGCCCATCAGGAGGCAGCGGGGCCCTGCCTCAGCTGCCCCCTCCCCGGTCCTGGGAGGCCGGCTGGAGCCGTGCGGCCCCTCCTTGGCAGGGGCCCCAGCATCACAGGGGTGCTCGGTGGCTGTCCCTGGGTGTTTGGGTGTCCTGTGCCTCCGTGTGACGCCCGCCCTGCCCGGCTCCCGTGTCTCATGAATCACGACTGAGGGAGACAGTGAGCCCGCCGACGCCACGTCCACGGAGGACTCGAAGGCCCCGCCAGGTCCTCGTCCCCACACTCAGTAAAGATGCCGAGTGCCGTGTTCCTCACGGGGCCGTCCTGCGACACATCGGCCATCGGTGCCCGAGCCCAAGCCTGAGCGTCACTTCGTCCACTTCACTGGCAGCTTGCCGGGGGATCACACTGCAGAATTCATCACAGCACTCGAGAGTCTGTCAGCACGCTGAGACCTCATCCCGTGTCGGGGACGCTGGGGCTCACTGGGGCTCGGTGCTCACAGCTGGAGCTGGGAGGGGAGGGCGGAAGAGAGGGCACTGGGAGTGCGGGCCCAGCCTGTGATGGAGGACAGCCTGCTCCCCCAGGGGCTTCCCGGGGCTGAGGGTCAGGAGAGCGGGGTTCAGGAAGTGCGTTCCATCTGCACCTGTGTGTAGGCTGCCTCCGCGGTGGCCGTGACCCGGGTGATCTCACATTTGCAGGGCTGTGACAAGAAGGCCATGGTGTGGGACATGCGCTCTGGACAGTGTGTGCAGGCCTTCGAGACCCACGAGTCGGACATCAACAGCGTCCGGTCAGTGAGCGGGGCTGCTGGGGCGCAGGCTGAGTGCAGGGCCACCCTCAGACTCAGTTTCTGCTGGGGGAAAGGAGAGGGCTCCTCGGCAGCAAGGGCCCGTGGTGACCGAGCCCTCCCGGGAGTTCTGACTGAGTTGCTTTAGGGAGCGCTCAGACCATCCCAAAGGCAGGTTAGTCTTTCTTGTCTGTTCAGCAAAGACCTGTGCAGAGCTGCTCTGCTGGACATCGTTCTCAGGACAGGACCCAGATGGACAAGAGAGACCCAGGCTCCACCCTCCGAAGGGAGACAAACAGCATTAAATACAGGGAACAAACGCAGTTTCACATGCATCACTACCAGGGGGCACTGGGACAATAGAGCCCAAGCGGGGAGGACCCAGCTCTGCTCTCCCAGGGCAAGAAGCCCGGAGGGGCACGGGGTGGAGGACGAGGCCGTGCGCACGGATACCAGGGCTGTGCTGGGGCCATTTGCATTGAGTAGCTCTTGGGGTGTGTGCTAGTGTAAACAGCTGGGCGGGGCTCTGCAGGGCGGTTCCTCTGCTCCTGTCCACCCCACTTCTTGTCCCTGGGCTCAGTGCCAGGCCCCGAGCAAGGCAGGAACACACCGGTCACCCAGTGTCACTGTCGCCTGTGACCCAAAGGAAGGTTAGCGCCCCACCCAGACTCCCTGGGAGCTGGGCAGGAGCCCCCGACATCCTCCTCGCCTCCCACAGGTACTACCCCAGCGGGGACGCCTTCGCCTCGGGCTCCGATGACGCCACGGTGAGTGCCCCAGCTTCCCCGGGAGCTTGTCCTGCGCAAAAGCAATGTGCTACCTTCGTTTTATTTTTTAGAAAATAACTGTTCCAGTTACAGCAGTTGTGTCTGTTCAGTGAAGACAACTTAAGGGCAAATGAAATGAGCGTAATCTCCTTGCCCACAAAAAATCCCATATGGATGAATTCTCTTTTCTCTTTTTAAACAAAATCCTTTATAATGTACCTTTTTTCACACAGAAAAGTTTGTGAACATTTTTTCATGCTGATAGATATTGTCCTCCATTTATTTTCTTAATGATTCAGTAGTATTCTAAGTTTTAGACAGGCCAACAATTACTTAGCAAGTCTTCAGTTTTTAGACAGCTTTCCTCAGAGTTTTTTTCATGTTTAAAACATTGCTATCATAAATATTTTTTACCTTTACTATTATTTTCTTAGAACTCTCAAAGCTTAGAGTTTGCTAAGTGAAAAGTAGACCTAGTTTTAAGGCTTTCAATACTAATTGCAAATTGTGTGTTTTTCTAAGGAAAAAATGTTGTTTTCCTCAAAAATGTCAAATACACCTGGGTGTGGGACACACTCCTGTAGTCCCAGCCACTCAGGAGGCTGAGGCAGGAAGATTCCTTGGCCCCACAAATTGGAGGCCAGCTTCAGTAACACAGTAAGACCCTCTTCCACCTGGGTACTTGGCAAGACCCCGTCTCAAAATGAAAAAGGGATAGGAATGTGACTCAGTGAAGGCCCTGGGTTCAATCCTCACATAAAAATAAAATAGTATCATTAATTAATAGATTTTATTCTCATTTGCTGCTCTGAAAGAAATTAAAAGGGAATAGACAGTTTTAATCATGAAAACATTTAACTTTTACATGTTGAAAAATAATAAAATATAAGGACAAATATTTTTGGAAAAATTCTTGCCGTATATGTGGCCAATCAAGTGAAAACCTTTTGATGTGAAGGGGTGGAATCTCAGTAAGATGAATACCATGACACACACACAGCGTAAATGCAGGCCACCTACAAAGCAGCAGATCCACATTGTCGCTAAGCCCCTGAAAATGTTTGCAAAATGACCTCTGATGGTTTTCCCGCGGGGTCCCGCAGGCACTGCCGCAGTGGGAGGGAAGGGTGGGGCCTGGGGATACCCCGCTTGTGGGAGCTCAGCCAGGGGCACCCTGAGCCTCGGGAATGTTCCCCTTGGCGGCCCTGAGGAGGACCTGCAGATGCGTAAGGTTTTCAGTAGGACGCCCCACCTGGTGGGGTGTGGGGTGGAGAACGGTTAGCAGCAGCGGAGCACGCGGTGGCGGGGTTGGCCAGGTGGACTTCTGTGTCCGCCTGAGGGAGCTCACAGGCGCCCAGGCGTCCTTTCCTGAGGGCTGCTGGGTGCGGGAAGACGCCTGCAGCGCAGTGGTGGGAGCCTCCGTGAAGCGCTCACCCCTTGCGTGCACACAGGAACTAGCGAAGACCCCGGCGGGGGGAGCGCAGGCACGGGAGACGCCTGTAGGACAGGAAGTGACCTCCCTTTCCTTCCTGTGCATCTCTGAACACTTGCGGGTTTTCTGCAGTGACCCTGTGCCCTTTACGGGGGAAAAGACTGGGGTTTCGTCTTTGGTTTTGTATTTGCTGTTTCTTTTCTCCGGCGATCTGTGGAGATGAATCAATGGGGTTGGGGGACGAAGTAGCAGGAGAGAAATCAAGTCTTTCCCTCAACCCTCAACCCGCACAAGCCCCCACCCCGCCTTACCTCGGTCACCATGTCCCCCACGTGGAGCCTGCGGTGACGGCCTTGTCTGTCTCCTCGTGCCCAGTGTCGCCTCTATGACCTCCGGGCGGACAGAGAGGTGGCCATCTACTCCAAGGAGAGCATTATCTTCGGCGCGTCCAGCGTGGACTTCTCCCTCAGCGGTAAGGCCTCCCTCGGCGGGGCTGTCCACCTGTCTCGGCGGGGCCCTGTGCCCGCCAGGCCCCGTCCCGCAGGGCCAGGGTGTGTGACGCCTGCGGCCGGCCGCCCCTGCCCAGAGCGCCGCGCTCAGCCTTTCCAGGCTGCTGACAGCCGAGGACTTGGAGCGGTCTGCTGCTGCTCCCTGGCATGCTGCGTGCACGCAGACACCCGGGCACACGCGTGTGCACGCAGACACCTGGGCACACGTGCGTGCAGGCCCTTGCAGCCTGGCTATGCCACGGGGCGCGAGTGAGTTGTTCCCGGGGCTGGGACACCCGAGCATCCCGAGTCCCAGGAGCGAGCACCGCGCCCGCTGACAGCGTGAATGAGTGCGCGAGCGAGCGGGTGAGTGAGCAGGTCCGAAAGGAAGAGGTGGGGGAAGGAACGGCCCCATAACGCGCTGTCCCCCACCTCAAGGCCGCCTGCTGTTCGCCGGCTACAACGACTACACCATCAACGTGTGGGACGTGCTCAAGGGCGCGCGCGTCTCCATCCTGTTCGGACACGAGAACCGCGTCAGCACCCTGCGCGTGTCCCCTGACGGCACAGCCTTCTGCTCAGGGTCCTGGGACCACACCCTGCGGGTAAGGAGCTCTGCCTCTGCTTCCCTGCGGGTGGCAGGAGGTGCTGGCAGTGCAGGGGCACCGCCTCGGGCAGAGGAGGGTCCTGTCCACGGCTGCCCCTTAGCGTGTTGCGTGGGCAGTGGGCAGGAGGACCGTAAATGTCCCTCCTGGCCCAGGACACCAAGGCTGGTGACAGTCCCATCCTGTCTCCTGCCGCTCTTCCTGGCCTTGTCATGTCGGGCTCACAGGCCCCTCGGGGACTGCAGGCTGCCTGAGGTGTTCTGCAAACTGGCGTGGCCTCATGGTGTCCACCAGATGCCCACGCTCCTGACCACTGTCCCCCAGTGCACCCAAGGTGGGCGTTTTGTGGAGCTGAGCCCAGGGCTCTGCCCACCTCAGTGTGGATGGCCAGCCCAGGATTCGGGGGGGGCTGGGGGGTGCCCCGACCTACAGGTGGGGGATGTGGGGTCGGCCTCTCTGTGACGGGAGCGTCCCCAGATCCTGGAGGGGGGGGCGGGCAGAGAGCATTCTGGGCGGTGGAACCGGCGCCTCGCTCTGTGGCGCTGGCGTGTGGGTGTCTTTGCTGCGGGTGACGTGCTGTGCAGTTCTAGAAGAAAGAGCTGCGCGGGTTCTGACAAAGTTCCTGTGGCAGAGCCCTGTGCGTCCTCGCTTGCGTGCACGCACGTCCTCGCGCAGCTGAGCAGGCGCGGGACAGCCGTGGTCTGACCTCTGAGCGCAGGCTGTCCCGCTCAGGACCGAGGACTGAACAGTTCCCGCTCTGTCTTCCAGGTCTGGGCTTAGTCCCGCCCCGGAGCCGCAGCGGGTGGGGCAGCAGGTGACGGCTCCGCGGGAGGCGCTCGGTTCCCCGCAGTCTGCTTGAGGACAGGTCTCCAGTGTCGCTCCCCCCGTCACACGCGTGTGAACCTCCAGCACCGCACCAACACCTTTCACCGCAGTGTTGCTCACTTTGGACACGTGCGGTCTGTCGGTTTCTGAGGTTATCCTGACTCTGTTAGCACAGTCACTGTTCCCCCAGAATCTGGCACTCAGAGTGTTCTGCCCAGCTGCTGGTCCACAGGGCGTGCCCGGACCTGGCGCGGGGTCCCTGGGAGAAGCAGATTCCAATTCCAACTGTAAGCAGGCAGCATTGCTTTTAAAAATGTGTCTCTCGTGAAAGGCCGTCTCTTCAGCCGGCTGTTCCTCATCCTCGTCTTTGCCTGATGAAATATTTTTATCTGTGCGTACTGTCAAAGATGAGGCAGAAACGGGCGTAGCACGCACAGGGCATCCGGCCCCTGGGCATGGGCAGGTGTGTGTAGCCCTGTGTCACAGAACGGCTGCTTCCTTCAGGGGCACAGCTGCAGCTGTTTGTAACACAGGTGCTGCTGAGAGCAAACACAACATCACAGCCGATTGGAGCAGGTGTGGTGGAGCATGCCTGTAATCCCTGTGCTCAGGAGGCTGAGGCAGGCAGATTGCTGGAAGTTTGAGGCCAGCCTGGGCTACGTAGTAGACCCTGTTTCAAAAACACAACACAGTAGTAATAAAATAAACAAACACTACTGAGTAGTAGTACAAACAAGTCCAAGTGGCTCTTGTCTATGTCAGTTGTATATGTACGATCGAACTGCCACCGTGACTACATAGGTCCATGAGTACGCCTCAAAAACAGCAATGTGCCGGGCATGGTGGTGCACACCTGTAATCCCAGCACTCAGGAGGCTGAGGCAGGAGGATCGTTGTGAGTTCGAGACCAGCCTGGGCTACAAAGTGAGCTCAAGGCCAGCCTGAACTGCATAGCGAGACCCTGTCTCAAAAAGACAAAAAACAGCAATGTGCTTATTCTTCCCACCTCAGAAGAGAATACCAAAAGAGCACCCTGTCTTTGTTTAAAACTCAGTGATTCCTGCCAGGCATTGCCAGGAGCTATTTATTATAGGACGCTTCATTTCCTCTCTCCCCCTTGTTGGGGGTGCAGAGGGTTACATGGGTTTCCCAGGGCCTGGGTGTTGGAGTGTCCCGGAGTCCCGGGCTGCGGCCCTGCCTGTCCTGTCCGACCTGGGCACGGGCGCAGGGACATACCCCAGCACTCCGCGTCATGCTCAGTCCCATTGTCCTCACCCCCCAGGTCCCACTCTGCAGGGTGGCGGCTGGGCTACACCCTTCGAGGGCCACAGAGAAAAGTCCAGAATAAATTGTATTTTGCGTAATGAAAACAACACCGTGTGGGTTTTGTACCAGCTCTTTCTTTCTAGAGGCCTTGGGGCCGAGCCTGTTGTGAGAGGGATGGATGCCGGGATACAGGGTCTCGGGCAGTCCCTCACCCGCCAGACTGGCCGAGCTGGCAGAAGGGTTTGGGGGGGGGGGGTGCCTCTGAGAAGGTGGGTCAAGCAGGAGGCAGGGACAGCAATCATTGCACTCCTGTCATCCCAGCACTCTGGGAGGCTGAGGCAGGAGGATTGCAAGCTGAGCCCCCACCGGGGTGACTTAGTGACTTAGGAGGATCTTGTCCCAAAGGAAAAGCAGCACGAGGTGGTACAGGCTTTTGCGCTCAGGCTCCCAGAGCCGCCGGCCCGCTGGCTGCAAGGAGGCCGTGCTGGCCCTGGGACTCATCGGTGAGGAGGGCGGTGCAGTGACGGTGGAGCTCTAGCTCGAGTTGGGTGCCCGCTGGGTGAAGTACACAGAACGTGTGCCGGTGTCTGGCCTCAGCTTCCCGTCTGTGAAACGTGGCCCCAGCCGTGGGCGCCCACGGCCGGTAGCTTCCCACCCCTTGGGGGCTACTCCAAGCTGCGTCCCCCACGTCTGCCCTCCCCCTCCCGCTCAGGTATGTGGTTAGTGGTGGTCGCCAGGTAAGCGGTCATCTAGGCCAGTGGGTCTCAGGCTGTGGTGTCAGGGCCCCCTGTTTTCCTAAAAATGACTGTGGACTCCAGATAAAGGTGTCCTTGAAACACATGATGAAGGTCTAAATTAAAAATTTCACAGCAGTAGACGCACTGCCACAAATGCCCCTCAGACCCTCCCTCCACTCACACACCCCTGTCCCAGCGCCCTCGCCACGGCCTGCGCAGCTCCGGAGGCCTGTTTCCTGCGGGTCTCCACAGGTGCGATCAGCGGTGGATGAGAGCCGCTGCCGAGAGCCGCCGGTGGCGGGGGGCTCCCAAACGCAGCACGCTGCGTCCTCGCCCCGTACTCCCCAGCGCCGAGCCCCGCTGCCTGCAGGCTCCGCCCCAAGGTCGAACTGAGGTGAAACTGAAATGGCATCGATTCGATTCGGGACATGGAGGCAGCCGCAGCAGCACAGCTGTGCTTAGGAAAGGCCCTCCCGAGCTGCTTCAGCTGGCAGGAATAGTGGGGTGAGTGTGTTCAAAGTGAGGGGAGGGTTTTGAGGAGGATTCCTGGCAGCGAGTCTTTTGTTTGTTTGTTTGAGACAGGGTCTTCCTATGCAGTTCAGGCTGGTCTTGAATTCACTTTGTAGCCCAGGCTGGCCTCGAACTCGCAAGGATCCTCCTGCCTCAGCCTCCCGAGTGCTGAATGACAAGTGTGCACCACCACACCCAGCCACGACAATGTCTTAACATAATAAATTTTTAAAAATCTGTGAACATTCACTGTATTTTGACCACACCTACGTTAGCTTTGTAATGCAGATGACTTACATCTGTATTTATCGTACTAGAACCTCAGACAGAAAACTTGTGAGGCACAAGCACAGAAGGGCCGCATGTCCCATTAGCCACCAGGGACGCTGCCCCCGTCAGCACCTCTGCAGCCGCGGAGAGAACCAGGGAAACGAGCGGCTCCAGCCCAGGGCCAGAGGCCGAAGGAAACGGTCTGAACCCGGGGCGACCCTTGATGGCAGCTTTGCTCCCAGGGGGAGCCCAGCCCATGGGTTAGAGACAAAGGGGGCACGACTGGGGGCACTGAGTGGGCAGTAGCTCTTCATCTCCCAGGCTTTCCTGCTAGAAAAACATCATCCCGGCCCACAGCCGGCTTAGACCAGGTTCCGGGAGCCCCAGATCCGGACTGGGCAGCTGAGGGCCCGAGGTGTTGCGAGGAGATGCACTGGGGACCCCAGAAGCTGCAGGACACGTGCAAACCCCTCGCCTCCCATCCACCTGGGGTGGGAGAGAGCCGGCGCCCTCCTACACACACCACGGAGGCCTCGCTTCCGGACAGGACTGGCCCAGCCTGACAGAAACTCTGGCCTCCAGCGGGCTGACCCAGGGCCCACTCTACCACCAGAATTGAAATGATTTTATATTTAGCATTGCTATTTTTAAAAAATGCAGACCCTGCAGTGAGGAGACAGGGTCAGGAATGTAACCTAACCCACCTAGGTAAAAGTGAAGCCCTGAACGTAGACGCACCGTGAAGATGTAGGTGCCAGGCCTCCTCTGCGATCTCGTTTACATGCACGGTCTGCTAAGCAAACCCGCGGAAGCGACGCGGATGAGCGGCCACTCACCGCTCCGGGCTCCCTTGCAGGGTAATGGGATTAGAGGTGACGGATACAAAACTGTAAATGTTCGAGAAACCACTGCATTGCTCACCTCAAAGGGGTGACTCTTACATGGATTATATCTCAATAAATCTGTTATTAATAATACTACGGTACTATAATCTGCAGTCACTAGCGATTTTCAATACTTTTTGGAAAAAAAGCAACCAGTCGTGGTGGCGCATGCTTGTAATCCAGCACTCAGGAGGCCGAGGCAAGAGGCTTTCTGAATCTGAGGCCAACCTGGGCTACATAGTGAGTTCAAGGCCAGCCCGAACTACATAGAGAGGCAACCGCCCAGTCCCACCCGGCAGACCGTCTCCACCTGTTCGCAGCCCTCAGCCGGCCGGAGTTGAGCGATCACGCCGCCAAGAGGCACCAGTGCGGGGAGCCCAGGTGCCCGGGCCCGGGCGCGGGCGGGGCGCGCGGATCTAAAAGCGCGCGGGGCCCTGCGCGCCGCGCCAAGATGAGGGACGAGCTGTGGGCGCGCACGGAGCTGCTGCTCACCGACTACCTGGAGTTCTGCGCGCGGGAGCCGGGCACCCCCGGCCTC